GATATGTTTGTATCTATCAGGCTTATTACTAATAGTTTTATATTTCTACCTCTCAGGGTGTACACGAGAAAATACATTAGCTGTTTTTGTTAAAGAGCAAGTCACCCCCTACCAGATTCGTACTCAACTCCCACTTCCAGTTTGAAAAATGCAACAAATGCTGTTGCCTAGCAGACCGGGAGGGCGGAGACACTAACAAATACACACAAACACAGGCTCTCAATGACATTGTGACATCATATGGTACCAGTTAATGTTCTAGGGTACCTCTTAGCCAATAGCAATGGCAGATTTAAATTCAAATGCAGAGTTTTTACCTGACAACAGCACAACACTGACAATTTTTGGCAGAAATTTTAAAATTTAACTAAAATGTACTAAAGTGCAAGACTATTTACTACATGTGTCTGCCGCACGATTGGACACACATTTATATAGTTTATTAGAAAAAAAGTTGATTTGGGGGTGACTTGCTCTTTAAATCAGCTCTGAAGAAGCCATTGAAATTCATTTTGTGTTTTTATTCTAAAAACACCCTGAAGAACATTCAGCAAGTAACTCTTGTGTTATTATTACATCATATTTTCGATCAGTTTAAATGTTGTCATTTAGTCTAACACTGTTTACTTGGTCAGAAAAATACAGGATCTATGGTTTGGAAACATTAGTTTCCGTCTTTTGTCTTGGTTTATGCCTTCGTTGATCTCCACAGCCAATCATCTGTCTCAATTTAGTCCTGTCTTCTGCATCCTACACACTCAAGCTTACTAACAGCATGTCCTCTTCCACCACATCCATAAATCTCCTGCTCAGCATCCTTCTACCTGTGGAAACATTGTCTCTCCTCTGGACATGTCCAAACCCTCATGACCTCATCTCCCAATATGAGCTGTCCCTCTGACACATGGGCGTTGCACCTGTGGATGTGGGTGTTTTAACACCCACACTTTTCCCGCAGTTTAGCTCAAAAACTATTCATCAGTCCGGTTCCTCTGTGTTTCTCTTGCTGTGTTTGCCCTCTCCCCCACACCTCTGTGCAATGGTGTTACATCAGTATTCTGATCCGCAACGCCCAAGTGGCTAAATTGCGCAAGCTCAGTACAATCTCGCTCCTGCAGTGCGCTCTGGTTTTGGTTAGACGTTTAAGTTGTGTGTTTATGAAAACTTTGTGGAATCTAGTCACACTAATGAGCTCCAACGGAGCCAGCTCTGGTGTCACAATGAGAGTTAACATGATGAGCAGCTGCTGTCTAATGGGGACGGCGGGCGGAACCAGGAGCTAACTGGGGAATTCAATTCAATTCAATTCAATTCAATTAAAAAATACTTTATTAATCCCAGAGGGAAATTGATTGCTGTAGTAGCTCAGGATAATAATAATAATCAAGTTGTCAAAGAGTTGTTGTATAATACAATAGCTGTTGGCAGGAAGGATCTCCAGTAGCGGTCAGTGTTGCAGCGAAACTGAAGAAGCCTCTGACTGAAGACACTCTTCCATTGTCGGACAGTCTTGTGAAGAGAATGCTCAGGGTTGTCCATAATTTTCTTGATTCTCTGGAGAATCCTTCTTTGCATGATCTCCTCCAGTGGTTCCACAGTCGTCCCCAGAACAGAACCAGCCTTTTTTATTAGGCTGTTGAGCCTTTTCAGGTCCCTGCTTCTGATGCTGCTACCCCAACAGACGATGGCTGAAGAGATTACACTCTCAACAACAGACTTGTAGAAGATCTGCAGCATCTTGCTACAGACATTGAAGGACCTAAGCGTCCTCAAGAAGTGCAGTCTGCTCTGTCCCTTCTTGTAAATGGCTTGGCTGTTCTTTCTCCAGTCCAGTCTGTTGTCCAGGTGAACTCCAAGGTATTTGTATTCCTCAACCACCTCCACTTCTTCTCCCATGATGGAAACACTGTTTGACTCCACCCTGTTTCTTCTGAAGTCTAAAATCATCTCCTTTGTTTTGTTCACGTTCAAGGTCAGATGATTGTTTCCACACCATGCCACAAAGCGCTCCACCAGCTCTCTGTACTCAGCTTCCTGTCCATCTCTGATACACCCGACAACTGCAGAGTCATCTGAGTATTTCTGTAGATGACAGGTCTCTGATTTGTACTGGAAGTCTGAGGTGTACAGGGTGAAAAGGAATGGTGAGAGTACAGTCCCCTGTGGTGCTCCAATGTTACTGATTGCCTGGTTTGATGTGCAGTTCTTCAGCCTCACAAACTGTGGTCTGTTTGTCAGGTAGTCTTTAATCCAGGCGATAGTTGAGAACCCCACCTGTGTCTTCTGGAGTTTCTGGCAAAGTACATCAGGCTGGATTGTGTTAAATGCACTGGAGAAATCAAAGAACATGACCCTCACAGTGCTGCCTGCTTTGTCCAGATGACAGTGGATTGGTTGAAGCAGCTGGATGATGGCATCTTCAACTCCAACTCCATGGCGATAAGCAAACTGCAGCGGGTCCTGATATGTTCTAGTTTGCATATTCAGGTGGACCAACAGGAGTCTCTCCAGGACCTTCATGATGTGGGATGTCAGGGCAACCGGTCTGTAGTCGTCATTGACTGATGGGCGAGTTTTCTTTGGAACTGGAACAAGGCAGGATGTCTTCCACAGGACTGGAACCTTCTCCTGGGCCAGGCTGAGGTTGAAGAGGTGCTGCAGAATCCCACAGAGCTGCTCCGCACAGGCCTTCAGTACTCTGGGGCTGACACCATCCGGACCTGCAGCCTTGTTCCTGTTCAGTCTCACCAGCTGCCTCTTCACCTGACTTCTAGAGACACATAGGTGGGAGGGGGAGGTAAATGGGGCAGCAGCATCTCCTGACTTGGTTGAAGACGGATTTATAGACCCAGAAGAGTCCATGACTGCATTAGAGGACAAAAGAGCTGGCGTGTGACAGGAAAATGTTGGATCAGAGGAGGATGGGATGTCTGATTGACTGGGGGCAGGCGAGGAGGATGCTGGGTTTGTTCCTGAACTGAACCTATTGAAGAACTTGTTCAGTTCATTTGCTGTATCCAGACTGCCATCTGTGCAATCCTTCCTCTGCTTGAAGCCTGTGATCTTCTTCATCCCTGACCAGACATCTCTGATATTGTTCCTCTGTAGGTTGTTCTCCAGCTTCTTCCTGTATGCCTCCTTGCTGTCTCTGATCTTGATCTTCAGTTGCTTCTGTATACTCCTCAATAATTCCTTGTCTCCCTCCTTGAAGGCTCTTTTTTTCTCATTTAGCAGATTCTTCAGTTCACTGGTGATCCAGGGTTTGTTATTAGCGAAGCATCTCACTGTTCTGGTGGGTGTGATATTGTCCACACAGAAGTTTATATAGTCAGTGACACATCCAGTCATGGCATTGATGTCCTCTTCATATCCCTGGCAGAGAGTCATCCAATCTGTGGTCTCAAAACAACTCTGCAGGGCTTCTTCAGCGTCCTGTGACCATTTTCTAACAGTTTTTCTTGTCACAGGTTGCCTCTGAACAAGTGGTTTGTATTCCGAGCAGAGAAAAACAAGACATTGATCTGATTGTCCCAGAGGAGGTCTTGTTTTGGACATGTATGCATTCTTTACATTTGCATAACACAGATCTAATGTCTTGTTTTCTCTGGTGGAGCAGCTGACAAACTGTTGAAATGTTGGAAGTGTAGCAGAGAGTGAGACATGATTAAAATCACCAGAAATTCCCCATGGGCCAGTTTGAGGTCGGTGTTTTTAGTTCTTTTTGGGACTGGTGTTATTCTGTTGATCACCTGCTGCTGATGAGAGGATTTCTCCTGTCAGGAACAGGTGAGCTGCTGCCAACAAGCTTTAGCTCCTAGAAACACTTTCTATGCCCAGATTGTAGTGACCTGGGGCCTCATTTATCAACCTTGCTTATGCACAAAACGGGGTTGGAAAACAGTGTAAGCAACTTTCCACGCAAACTTTGGGATTTATGAAAGAAAACTTAGCGGAAAACTGTGCTCAACTTTAAGATGACTAAGGACCTGGCTTATGCACATGTTGGACATGGAGAGCAGCTGCAGTGCCGCTGCTGAGAAGGAAACAATAAAGGTTGGTTTATGCTTGACACATCCGCGAGGTCCGAGCGGCGAAATTGCATCATTTTAACAACACGCCCCTCCACCGCGCCTCCGCACGGCCCAAAATTTCTGCAACGCGCACCTAGGAAAATTTCTAACCACGCGGACGGTTGGACGCGGAAAAACATGGCGGACCGGCAAGAACTAGTATGGCAGAGGTTCGTAAATACAGACATTTGTATGATTCAGCTCTCAAAGAGGACGCTGTTAAAAAATGCTGGAATGCCATGTTGTAAACAGTAATTTCTACTTCTACTATGGTGTAGTGTTGGATGCATGCTGTAGAGCTCCATGCTGCCCCCTACAGTTTGGGAGAATATTGGCTCACCGCAGAGACGAGCCGCATGAACCATAAACGCTGCGAGTTGTGAAGCGTGTTCCGTCCGCGAGCCGCATCACCAAGCGGAAAGTGAATGCGTCAAGCATAAACCAAGCTTTATGAAATCCTGCAGCATTATCACTATCAAAACAGCTCTGTTATAGAAATAAGCAGATGTCTGCTTAAGCTGGACTATATCAAACATAAAAAGTATTCACAGAAAACACATTTTTTTATGAAACAAGGATATTAACAATTTTTCATTCTAATATTGATTTTATTTCATTTCTAAGGGTTGGATGTCTGTGAATTATTACAAAATGTTCTGACTGGTGTTAAGCTTTTTGTCAGGGACACTGTCTCTACGCCAGACAACATGGCTGCTCTCACTTCTGTCTCCTACACCTTTCCTTTAATTCTTACTGAAACCTTTTATCACACCTGCCGCTTTTCTCCCCCATTCCAACCTGCTTCACACACTTCTACCCTCTTTTCCCCCTTCTCAGTAGCTTTGGACCACAGACATGTTTAATATTTTATAGCAGCCACACACTTTATCTCACACACTCCATACAGCTGATACAAAACAGGACACTGGATCAGGAGCCCTCCAATTTATTCAAGTCATGATGCAGCTACTATGGTACAGCTACTACAAACAAACCTAGATGTACAACAACAAATACAGTAATGATCCACAGACTGTTGTGTCTCAGTGAATTCACAGGGGTGTTGATAACACACACACAGACACACACACACACACACACACGCACGTTACCAATGCAACAAGTTCTGCAGATCAGTTCTTCATCAGAGAGTTAAAATGAAAGCATCATATCAAAAACACTGAATATCACAGTTTTCTCTGTCTCACAGGTTTGGTGTTTATTTTTAGAAAAAGACAAAAAACAAATGAAAGACGGTTCCTTTCCCTTTGTGGCAGACAGATGTGATGGATAAATACTCTGATACTACATCATCAACAGCTACACAAGTCTCAGAACAACGATACGACCAAAAGAAAAACTGTGTGTGGCTGAATTTGGACCAGATGGAGATGGAGGTGAACGTTTTAGAAAAGAATAAAACCAAAACCAGAAACTTTCTACCTTCAATAAACTGGTTGATTAATCATTTTTATCTAATAAGATCAAACAACACCTACAGACACCAAAGACATGTGGAAAAAAACTGAAGGTTGGTTGAGCAGAGTCCATTAGAACCCAAATCAACACGGAACGTCCTCCTCGTCTCTCTTAGAGGGAATGAAATCAAAGCACGACATGGTAACATGAACTACAAACCATTCAAACACATTTAATCTTTTACATCAACCAGATGGTTCTACTCTGTGTGCACACAGGATGGGATGTTTTGTAGGAAGTGACAGAAACTCTGGGCAGCCCGAGGAGCTTAACAGAAAGCTGCCACAGGTGTAGGCAACCGGACAGACACAACTGAGCTTCCATCTCATTCCCCGTCCCCCCAGAGCTCTCCCCCGCCCCCCTGTTAGCTATGTGTCCTTGTCTGGGGCTCCCAAGCCCCAGGAAGTTTGGCTTTTCAGCAGAGGATTTTCTCCCGGGTCTCTGGCAGCTTTAGGGCCACCAGACCTCCACAGACCAAGGCGACGAAGGCCAGGAAGATCGGGATGATCTTTGTGATGCCGATGAAGGCTGCAAAGATAAAGCTGGCGATGATGGCAGCAAATTTACAGATCCCGTTCAGGATACCGAACGCCGTTCCTCTGGGAATCAGAACACAAGAAAGGCTGAAAGTTTCAGTGGTCCCTGCTGCAGCTTCTAACAGAAGATGTTCATTATTAAGTTGGAGACGGAGTCATGCTCCAGCCTTCTCTTGCAGATATTACAGTAAAACAGAAAGAGACCGTGGTTTTTTACGAGGAATAACGTCCGGACCACTCTTTTAGTGGCTAACAGTTTTTCCACAGCGCTGCTGCTTTTGCTGATCGGTATCAAATTACAAACTCTGCAGAGCAGCAGTGTTTTCTGGAGCAGAATCTGCAACTCCCTGGACTCACATATGATTGGCTGTTGTGGAAAGTCGGTACAAATATTCTGCAAAAACTTTAAAAAGCTGCTTAAACCTTCATTGTTTTATAGTGGGCATGTCTATATTTATAAAATCAGTTGATGGTTTAAAGTAACTGTAACTAAAGTTACTCAGAGCCACTGTAGACGGTCCAGTCTGAGTTAAGCTGTGGTAGCTGGAGAGGAGCTGAGAGACAGCATTAAACCTTTTTCTGTTTGCTTGTTCCAGTTTAATTCAAATTTAATATATAAGACATCAATTATATAATAATTGTATGTATATTTAACAGTCATGTTAGACATAAAAGGCAGAATCGATTAAAAAAACATTTTAACTTTATCTGGTTACACTGAAGCTTCACGTGCCACAGTGGGCAGTTTCTGTCCCACATGTGGTGAGCTGGGATCTGGCCATCCTACTTAATGATTACAGTCATTTGGAATATTTTCAGATGTTTTTATGTTTGGTGTTTTTTGAATTAGTCTCATAATAATTAATAATTATATGATGATCCCTAATCATTATCTGATTAGTTATTTCAGTTTATTATATTTAGCTCTCTTGAACAATAGGACTGGTAGAAAATTGCTTGCATTTTGCAGAAACATCACATACTTTTTTTTTAATATTCTCAATAAAATAAAAGTATATAAATGTCAGAGGTCACTACAAAACCCACTGTAGAATAGATGCACATCTGCAGCACGTGAGGACCTTGTTTGGGGGGAGTTATTTTAGTTGTTACTTTTTTCACAGCCTCGGAGTTCGTGGCTATGAAAAATAGATGCATGTAAACTAAAAATAAATATATTTTGTTCTTCTATGCGCGCGGTTTGCATTTTTGTACCACGTGGCTTTACGTATTATTGCTACAGCCTTGCTGTCCCGGATGTGACGTAACCCGACATGAAGTGGAAAACGAAGCGATGCAGTATTTAAAAACTATATAAGAGTGTTTAACAGTTGATTAGTTCTTTGTGATACAGTCATAATTTTATTTTTACAAGGTCTTAAAAAGTCTTGAAAAAGTCTTACATTTGATTTTGATATTCCTGCATATACCCTGGTCTAGTTTGTCCCTTAAATAACAAAATAACAATTAATACATATTATTTGTATAACATTTTGTTCACTTTGATCAAAATTGATAAAAGTGGCATCGTTCCTACCGTTAAACAAAGAAAAACGATTCTTTCTAATCAAAACAGAACTATTTAAGACACCGCTGCTTTTATTTAGATGCTAATTCGCATTTTGAAGCATTGTGAAGAGCCTGAAAAAAACAAATGCATGCAGCAAATTTTACAGCTTACACACAATTATTTACAAGAACAGAAATACTTTTCTTTTTTGCAACTCTGATATAAAGCACTACAGGTGATCCCTCATTTATCGCGGTAGATGCGTTCCAGACCTGGCCGTGATAGGTGAAAATCCGCGAAGTAGGGACACCATATTTACAGTACAGTACTATATTGAATTATCGTATGATCACATTCTCTTTTTGTGGGTAAAACTCAGGAAAAAAAAATTTTTTACTTGGTTTTTTTATTGTTTTATTACAAAAAGTGCATTTTATGATGAAATTGATGAAAAAAAACAGGAGTTTCTTGATATTTCGCATAGAAAAATGCCGCGAATCGGTGAAAAATACCGCAAATCGGCAAATTTCCCTTGAATAAGGCTCCAAAGAAAAAATCCGCGAAGTCGTGAATCTGCGATAAACGAACCGCGAAGTAGCGAGGAATCACTGTACAACGGTTTGCAACACAATGCATTATGGGTATTATTGCTGTGCCAAGTCCACAGAAGGATGCACCCTCAGGACAATGGGCGGAGCAAGAACACGTCTGAGAACTTTAAGCATACTTGCCATGCTATGTATTCAGGACTGGAACAGTACTTGTCACAAGGACCTGAGCACATAAGTTCAGACTAATTCACATTTTAAGAAACTTCCCTTTTAAAGGAGAAATCTTGTTTGTTTCAGTGAAACAATATGATCAATTAACATTAAACCTACTGCAGACCGAAGCATTTGTGTTAGGAGGAACGGTTTTGTTGTGGCTGGACAGGTGAAGCGTGTCAAGGAACTATCCAGAACAGGCTAGATATTATGTGTTTACAACTTTTCCACAGAGCAGGACAGAGTAGACGCATACCTCTTTGAGCTGGGGTAGAGCTCCACAGAAATGACCTCCAGTCCGTTCCAGGCCGCCACGCTGACGGCGTAAAACAGACACTGCCAGCATATAACCACTCCTTGGCTAAAACTCAGCAGCAGCAGGAAGGTGCAGGCTGAAGACGCCAGCATCGACCCACCTAAAGAAACACAACAAAACAAAACAATTCAAGCTTTTCTATCATTTTTTTTACCTTTTATACGATTTTAGCCACCATACAAACATTTGGTTTTATTTTCATTCTTCAAGTAATTATTTTTGCTGTTTGACTAAAACATTTGGTTTTGAGGGAAACGGTCCTCGAGCAGAACAATAACTGTTGATAGCAATCAGTCATCATTTTTAACATCAACTTCTGCTCAGTGAGTGATGGTGAAATAGAGCAATAGACCTTTTTCACATTTCCTGTGTTTTTAACCAAAAATACATCAATGGCAGCAAAAACAAATGTTATTGCAGCCTTACTGCAGCGTAGAAGGCTGTTTTTCTTATACTCTGAAGCAGCCCTACCTCCATTTCCATCTGTTTCCAACATCTATCAATGCAAGACAAAATTGTCTAAGGGCGATCCAGCATGAGGAGGGGCTGAAATTTGTTAATTAAAGGGGAAGTAGCTACTTATGTCTGCAGCAGACTCTTCAGGATTAACTGCTGGAGCTAAGTGTTAGCCGTCGTAACTTGGTTGCAGTACCAAGTCTGTTCTCTTGGAATTACTTAATCCTAGGAGTATACATGTTCTGCACCACAAACGGCAGTTTGTGCAGCACAGGAACTGCCAGGAGCTAGAGAAGGTAAAGAAGGCGACAAGGCGGGACCATGATGCTACGTTAGCCGCTGTTAGCCCCGCAGGTAAGTTGTACTAAGAAAGAAATAAAGAAAATGATGTTTTCTATAGTGCCTCTCAAGATAAGATCATGAGGCGCTTCACAAAAACAAAAATTATGAAAAAGATTTTAGAAAATGACATAGAAAATTTGACAATTGTGATTAAAATGCAGAGAGAGTGAATAGGGAAGAGTGAAACCATTGGTTGCTGGGGATGGCGGAAAAGGTGGGAAGAGCAGAATAAGGAAAGGGTGGTGACAAAGGTCACACCAAAGCCTGAACAGGTGAGTTTTCAGCTGCATTTTAAAGGAGACCACTGAGTCCACTGATCTCAGGCTTGGGGGGGGGGGGGGGGGGGGGGGGGGGGGGGGCATTAAAAACTATTTATAGTAAATCAGTAAGGGACGATTAGCCTGGATTTTCGTAGTTAGGGAAACTTTACTTGTTTAAGTTAATTCATGTTTATCAAATCAAAGATAAATCCTTTTGTTTATTTTCATCTAGCGTACAGAACGACACAGGTCACACGTTCTCTCACCTATTATTCGGATCCTTCCTAACTTGTCCATGAACAATGCTGAGATGATGTTACCAGGTAACACGGCCAAGCTGCCCAGGAAGCTGACCATGTAGATGACTATGTCGTTCTCCTCCTGGAAGTTTAAATGGCAGCCTTTCTTTGGGTGGAGGAAGGTGGTGTTGTCCATTCGACAGTTTTTGAACTTTTCCTGCCACAAGTCTGGAAAAGCCGTTTCAAAGGTGATGGGTTTTTACTGTAAACTGTATTTCTTATTTCGATGACATCAGGTGACACTTGTGACATCAATACTACCTGTGTTGTAAAAGACAGTGTTTTTGATGGTGCAGTTCTCAAAGAAAGTGTTAGTTGATTTGACGTCTTCAAAGTAGCAGTTCTCAAACAGGGAATTCTCAAACTTCACAGACTTGAACTCAATGTTTGCAAACCTAAAAGAAGGGAGAAAATCATGTTAATGTCACGCGTGGTGCAGGAGGAGGTTAGGACCCAAGATGCAGAAACCCAGAACGACACAAGGCAGGAGCGTAGTAAAACGTAAAATCCTTTTGTTAGGAGTCAATGTCCAAAAATCCAAGAAGGGGCAGGAAGCCAAGTCTAAAATCAGTAATCCGACTGACAAAAATAAAAAAAGCTCTTTGATGAGCAAAACCTAGAGTTTCACGAGGAGGAACAGAACAACACTGACAACAAATATGGACCAACAAACACTGAGGGACAAGACAGGGTTATATACACAGGCCTGGGTGATAGGAGAAGAGGAGCAGGTGTGTGGGGAATGGGGCACAGGTGAAACTAATGAACTGAGGGAAGAAGCAGAAATAAGCAGGGAGAAAATCATATCTAAATCCTAAACCAAAGCTACTAAAATAACCTGAACTTTAAACACTGTAGAACAAAGACTAAAGATAAATAAACTAATGATAAGTGAAGTGACTAAAGGGAAACCTGAAGAAGCTGGGGACCAAAAGGGGGGCACAGAAGATTAGGGCACGCATGAGGGGAACCAGGAGGGGGCTGGGGACCACAGGGACACAGAACATGACAGTTGAGCCCTGGCACAAAGAAACAAAGCTTTGCACAAAATCCAAGTTCTTTGCTTGGTTGGTTATTTATGTGGTGGAAAAGGTGAATTGTTTAAAACAAAATCTTATACCATTCAAAAGCTGATTTAATTCAAATTGAGTGAAGCCACATTTGTAAGGAATCTGCATTTAGTGGGTTGAGCAGAAAAACCACTCACTGGAAAAACAGGGCGGAGATATTCTGCAACTGGTGGCAATCCCAGATATCCAGATGACACCAAGCTCTATAATCCAGGAGGAGGATGCTCGCCTTCACAGAGCAGGGTTATCTGAGGCCATGTACACATGTAGGCAGGGTTTTCTAAAACCAAACATCCTCCTCACCACATTGTTTTCAATGAAATGTCTAGTTCAATTAAATTCAATTGAATTTAATAAAATAACAAGACATTAAGTAAAACAACAAAAGAGGAATAAAACCATTTAGAGAAAATTAAAATTAAAAACATTAAGAGAAAAAGAGACAACTGTGTATTCTGAACCTCGACTGAGCTCTGCTGAGGTGGATGAGATCTGCCCGGAGTTTGTTAAGGCCCTGGATGTTGTAGGGTTGTGTTGGTTGATGCAGCTCTACAATATTGCGTGGACATTGGATTGGCAGAACTCGGTGGCTGTGCCCCTATTTGAAAGGAACCGCAGACTGTGTTCCAACTTCTGGGGATCACACTCCTGAGCCTTCATGGTACTGGACAACCCACTCAACCTGTTGAGCTACTGCTGCCTTTGGGTAGTGACCGAAAGAATGAGATTGCGGATACAAACAACCAACATTTGTCTTCTCCACAGAAGGACTGGGCTCTCCCTTAGAGATAGGGTTAGTAATTCAGTCATTCGGGAGGGGCTTGGAGTAGAACTGAGAGGAGCATCAAGAGGAGCCAGTTGAGGTGGCTCAGGCATCTGTTCAGCACGCTTCCTGGACACCTCCCTGGTGAGGTTATCGAGGCACAACCCAAAGTCCCAAAGGAAGATCACCAAACATGCTGAGGGGACTATGTTTCTCAGCTGGCCAGGGGAGGAGCTGGCCCAAGTGGCTGGAGAGAGGGAAGTCTGGGCCTCTTTGCTGCTGCCCTCGTAACCCAACTCTGCATAAGCAGGTGAAAATGGATGGATGGACTGAGCTCTCCTCATGGTCATGGCCAGACTATATATTCCCAAATATGGAATGTCTTGTCAGACTAAAATTCAATGTTAAATCAATATAAATTTAATTTCAGAACAATGGGAATGTTAGTGGTTGGCATAGATTGGATGTTTAGATGAATGGTTGAAATGTTACATAGCTTGGTTGAGATTGGGTCTAAAACACAAATTGAAGGTTCAGAGGAAGCTAATGTTTTTGATAACTGAAAGCTCAACAGAATCAACACAGTTCAAACACAGATGAGGTTCTACAGTTACCTCCGATGCTGCCTCAATTACTGAGGAAGAAGAAGTTGGGTGGATCCTGATGACTTTGTATTTAATAGAATCATATTTGTTTGTTAAGAATCCCACAAAGTCAATAATGTAGAATGCTGTCGGAATAGCTGGCTCAGAGCTTTGATTCTGTGTAAGTTCCAGGGGTTTGATCAAGAGGTAGTCCAGCAATCAGAAGGTTGTAGGATTGATCTCGGCTCTTGGCAGAGAATGCTACTGTTTTGTCCTTGGGAAAAACGTTCAACCACTGTATTTCTTTTTTAGCTAGTGTCAAAAATGGCGTAAACATCTTTCTTTAGAACAAAGGCTTTCAGCACTTCTACTTGTTGTGGGGTTTAAAGACATGTTCAAGTCATTTAGAACAGAGAGAGTCGCAGCGAACTCCGCTTCAGACACCGTCTTCATTGTTTATGAGAAACTGAGCATTGCAGTGTGTGACTTACGCTGCTCAGCACTGATTGGCTCAGTTAGAATTCTCAGGGGGTGGGGTTATTTGAATAGGAGAGTTTCCAGATCCAATGCTTCCCATAAGGAAGCATGGGGCTGGCTGGTCAGGCTACCTCACATGAACACACAACACCAAATGTCTGATAAAGAAGACACAACAACAGCTCTACTTCCTGAGGGCTCTCGGGAACATCAAACTGCCACAAAAACTGCTGTTGTGGTTTTATCACTGCTCCATAGAGAGTGACCTGACCAACAGCATCCTGGTGTGGTACAGCAGCAGCTCTGCAGCTGACAGGAAGGAGCTGCAGAGAGTAATCAAAACTACAGAGAAAATAACACACACACACACCTGCCTGCCCTGGATGACATTTTCGCCACTCGCTGCCTTCAAACACCCACACACATCCGAAAAGGCACAACCCACCCTGCTAACCATCTCTTCTAACACTGCTAAATGATACAGGACAACAAAAACCTGCACCACCAGGCTGTTGAACAGCTTTTATGCAAGAGCCACTACTGAACTGAACTTTTGACCCTTAAACTGATTCTGTGTGTGTGTGTGTGTGTGTGTGTGTGTGTGTGTGTGTGTGTGTGTGTGTGTGTGTGTGTGTGTGTGTGTGTGTGTGTGTGTGTGTGTGTGTGTGTGTGTGTGTGTGTGTGTGTGCGTGCGCACATGCGTGTGTGTGAGTCTGTGCATGCATGACATCAATTGTAGCAGTTATTTTTATTTTATATTTTACCAAACTAGAGCTGTCTTAGTGAGTGTAAAGTCAGTTTCTTTGTGCAATGACAACAAAATGATCTTGAATCGTCGTCGTCGTCTTCCTCTGCTTATCGGGGTCCGGGTCGCGGGGGCAGCATCCCAACTAGGGAGCTCCAGACGTCCTCTCCCCGGCCTTCTCCACCAGTTCCTCCGGCAGGACCCCAAGGTATTCCCGGACCAGATTGGAGATGTAACCTCTCCAACGTGTCCTGGGTCGACCCGGGGGCCTTCTGCCGGCAGGACATGCCTGAAACACCTCCCCAGGGAGGCGTCCAGGAGGCATCCTGACCAGATGCCCAAACCACCTCAACTAACTCCTTTCGATGCGGAGGAGCAGCGGTTCTACTCCGAGGCCCTCCCGAATGTCCGAGCTCCTCACCCTATCTCTAAGGCTGAGCCGGGCCACCCTACGGAGGAAACTCATTTTGGCCGCTTGTATCCGCGATCTCGTTCTTTCGGTCATTACCCAAAGCTCGTGACCATAGGTGAGGATTGGGACGTAGATCGACCGGTAAATCGAGAGCCTGGCTTTCTAGCTCAGCTCCCTCTTCCCCACGACAGATCGGCTCAGCGTCCGCATCACTGCAGATGCTGAACCAATTCGCCTGTCGATCTCCCGATCCCTCCTACCCTCACTCATGAACAAGACCCTGAGATACTTAAACTCCTCCACTTGAGGTAGGACCTCTTGAATCTTGAAAATAAATTTAGCATTATTCTTTGTCGTCTCAATTTGTGACAAAAAAATTTGCTGTTCAAGCTTGTTGAAGGGCATTTTTATAAAGCAGTTTCCGTAATAAGGAAAGGCAAGGCAGCTTAATGTATATAGAACATTTCACACACACAAGCAATTAAATGTGCTTTCCAGGAACAGAAACAAACATGCAAAACAAAACGTTAACTAAATGTGAGGTGCAACAACAGAATGGCTTTGTGCTGTAATTACTCAGAATGGCTCAGTACAGAGAAATCAGATCAATACAAGTGAGTTCGAGACACCGTGCAGCTTCACAGAGTGAAAAAAGGAAGTAACGCCATACGTCTTATGGTCGGAAGTGACAATCCCAGCAGCAACACCGCAGCTCTAGTGCATTGTGGAGTACAGTCACAGGCATGCCAAGCCTGTAGGCAGCAGTAGTTCCCCAAATCTTCTATGTTGTTGCCGAAAAGCTTTCCTGGACAAACTACTAACAAGGTGACGGGCAATAACGGTCCTTAATTTCATCCTTCTCCTGTGATCCTCTACAGAGCCCAGTTACTGAGCTTGTAAGAACACAGGCGTGAGTGTAAACACAAATCGTATATGAGGTGTCAGAGCATTTTTGTCCTGATTCCCAGCATAAGGAGGAGGTACCAGGCAGTTGTAGCTGGTAGTTTAAACATATCACCAACAAGCATCATAACAACAAAGAAATAAGAATCCAAACACACATTTCTTCACTTTTTTCCAGCTTGGTTTATGATCAGTGACTTGTGTGTAAGGGAGGATGGAGGTAGACATACTTGTCATGGATGTACTCTCCCTCCCGATGGACTTGGTTGACTAGAGAAAAATTGAAGTGAAAGCGTTCTACGCGTTCTCGGTGAAACACTCGGACCTTGGACTCGTACTCTTCGTACTGCATGTACTTGATCATGTCAGGGAACCACACTCCCAGCCCATGGTAGCTGATGCACACAGAAACATAAAAAACACCATGAGCTGTTAGAGTTCTTCCTCTTGATCAGGTCGAAATAGGCTAATCCCACCTGAAGGCCAAGCAGAACCAGACGATGACCAGGAGGAGGCCTTGCAGTCGGAGCTCTGGAGCAGATAAAGACATGACGTTGGCCATCACCTTCAGGAAGAACACACATAACAATAAGAGTGTCATCAAGCACTGATTAGCTAAAGTTTCTGTTTTATATGGAATAAAACACAATTGTTCAACCTGCTGCAACATGGTCATTTTTCTGACAGTCCAGCGCTGGAAAGCTGTCCCAGTGTCACTCTGGATCTCTATGAAATCATCTTCCTGAGTCTGTGGAGTCTTAATGTTGGTGACCTGACCAGCAACAGAGAGACGGAGGCTTTCATCTGCATGATGGACCTTTTCATTCTAAACTAAAAGCAGGGCACTTTTGTTTTATAGATTATTGATGGATTATGCAACAATAGATTTTTTTTAAAGTCTGTTATCAGGTAAATGAAAAAAGAATAAAAAGGTTAAACCTTTTGAAACTTTGAACAACACATAAAATAATTGAAAAATGGTCTCATGTCTCTGTTGTGCTTCTAAATGTAGACACTTTTGCTGAATCCACTCTATCATTGCTTTTGTTAAACACCGCTGGTGTGGAGGAAGGCTCACAGTGAACACTCTCTCTGGCTCTCCTTTGGCTTTCCAGTTGGTGTCGTGAACCTTTCTCAGGATCATCCACGCCTCGTCGTGTCGAGCATTCTGAAAACCAAACACATGTGAATCCTACAAATGTGGAAACTGATTTTTATCTTATCTTTATCAAAATAAAATGTATTAGAGCTACACAATGTACTAAACTCTTCATAACACACATCTAAACATGGATGCATGTTGCACTGTGCTACCTGCTCTTTTACATAAAGTCAAAATGAAAAAATAAAAAATAAAACTTATTCCATTGAAGATCATCAGATCATTTTGTTATTTTGTAAAGAGATATTTCAGGAAAACACTGTTTGGTAAATGAAATAAAAACTAGAGCGCCAGGCTGTTGTTAGTTTCACTAGAATAGTCTCAAAAGATCTTAAAGCATAAGATTTAAATTTAGTTTTTTTCTCTCTTAACTTTCGGTTTAACTACAACATATTTTGGCGCCTCAGTAAATATGCAAATATTTTGTTTTTATTCGTGTTTAAAAAAAAATAACGCATTTAATCGCAGCTTGCATTTAGAGCATGGCGGAACCTTTGTCATTGCACAACTTCCTCGTAGACTGAATATCACTGACGCACACAACAATGCACAGTGCTAATGGCTACTAAAACGAAATAAAAACAGAAAGAAGTTGCCTTGCTTGGACTGATGCAGAATTTAGGAAACACGTCCGCCTCTTTTCTTAACTTGGAAAAAAAAACTTCCAGACAACAACGGAGTCCGTGTTGCGGACATTTTTCAGAGATCGTCTCTGCTGCGGCTGCCCGGTGGCACCAGAAACTTTACAAAAGTTGCGGTAAGCTATATTTTTAACATTTACGTAACACCTGTGCAGCGCTGAAAGCACCAGACAGAATAATTCTTTGCCCTAACAGTAGTTTATGAAAGTAGTTAGACAAACGAGAGGCACCTGGCTGCCGCTGGGAGAACGCTCCGTGTTCTCACTACTCTGTAAACAATCACAGACAACGTGTCTTAAAGTTGAAAACAGAAGTTTAAGTTAAAACAGAAACACTCTGAAACTTTTCTGATGATTTTCTAAACAATTCTGTCGGGGAATTCTATGTTTCTGAGACGAGTCTCTGTCTAAACATCACATGCATTACTATCATTAAGCAGCGAGGTGTGTTGAAGCTGTCATCAGCTAAGGGGCGGATGCTTAAGTGCATCGGGGGCAGCGAGGAACGAGGAAGTTGTGATCAGGCTGGAGATCACACCAGATTCGCTGCAGCAGGCGTGAATCTGCGGGTCTGCAGCACCCCCTTCTTAACGTGACATCAGGACTTCCCATGTAAGGAAGGTCCGCTCACCTGTTCGTCAGATCATCATTTCCTCGCCATGATCTTTTATCTTCCCATCATCCTCCAGTCATCCAACTGGAACCAGTTAGTGTTCCTGATCATTCTCAGAATATGGCATTCCTGCTCTGGTGTTAAAAGTTAGTACATTTAAGTCCTAGATCATATTTGTGCCAGTTATACTGTCATTTTGAAGGATTATTATTTGTGTTTTTACTATATTATGAGTAGAAATGCTAATAAAAACTCCCAATTATACAAACAAGTGAAACTGGAAAAATTAGAATCTGGTGCAAAGTCAAATTTATTTCAGTCATTCAACTAGACAGAGAGACAATTTAAAGGCCCAGGAACCCTTTGCAGGTGTTTTCTATTTGTAATTATAAATTTTAGTTGATTTGGGTCTTGTTTCATATCACACAGTGACATTTGAATAATTAAAATGCATTTTCTTATTAAAAGCTTTAGTTTACAGTAATAACCATGTCTAATGGTCGATTCTCTGTCTCATAATTTTAATTAAAAGTTTTGCTGAGCACATTTTCCTGAATGATTAAAATGTGATTCGTTTAGATTAATTAATTACAAAGCCTCTAATTAATTAGATTAAATTTTTTAATCAAGTCCCAGCCCTAATATTTTGTTATTATGTTGCTAAAATGACCGAGAACTGTAGCGCATTTAAAATAAAAGTTATTGTAGGCAGACTATTAGATGGAACTCAGTTTGGAAATGAAAATAGCCACAAATGATTTTCTTTACCCTCCTGTGATGTCTGTTGGAATATAAGCTTTACTCAGGCTGATGTCTATTCTAGTCTGAAAGGGAATGAGGAGCCACATGCGGCTCCAGAGTAGCAGGTTGCAGACCAGTGCTTTAGTAGATATAATGAATTAACTGGTCACAGACCCCTGAACTCATTCCAGGTCTCCTGTTCTAGTCTGAGGCTGTGCTGCAGCAGGAAGAGACACAACCCCAACGCCAGTGGGTGGGTATTGTCCTGGATGGGAACTGGAAGGTGGGTGGGAAACCCTTAGCAGCTCTTTGCAACCTTTACACAGCAGTGAGATGTTACTGTGATTTCTGCTTACTCATCACTCTCCACCAAGCACAGTGATGTTTGAAAACAGTGAGATTCTACACTCCTGGTTTGTAATTTTGACCCTGAACTACAGCAAAACCGTTTCCCTGTGTGTTACGATCAAACGCAAGATTTCTGACAACTTCACTGTCTTCATCGAACTGAGAGAAATCCAACAAGTGGATGAGTTTAAATATCTGGGTGCTGATTTAGATTCTCATCTTAAAAACGAAATCTTAAACTTCTCTGTCATAAAACTGACATCCAAATGTCTAAAAGGCCTTATCCCGGAGCTGGGACAAGGCAGCACAGGAGCTACAATAAGAGGAGTAGAAAGTGGAGACTGCAAAACACTGAAATACAAAACATCAGTTGCCTCATTCTGATTTAGAGGACCTCAGATGTGGAACAATCGACCATCAGCAATAAAGCTAGTATCAATTATACAACTTTTACCTCCCAGGAGAAAAAATGACTGAAACAAAAACAAACTTGTAAACACTGATGATTCTCATCAGGTAAACTGGTAACGCTTCCGTTTACAGTCCCGTAATTACTAAGTACGTACATGGTAATTACATAGTAAGTTAAACTATGTTGTTGTGTAATTAAAGTGTATGATTGTAATAATGTGTAATTATTGTGTAAAGCAGAATTCACTGGGAATGATTAATACAAATAAAAACTAGAATTGAACATGAGTTACATGGCAATAACTGTTTAAGAACTCAGAAACAATATTACACTTTAACTTACTATGTAATTACCATGTAAGTACTTAGTAATTAGGGGGCTGTAAAAGGAAGCGTTACCGTGTGTGTGTGTGTGTGTGTGTGTGTGTGCGCGTGCGTGCGTGTGTGTGTGTGTGTGTGTGTGTGTGGTGATAAATGTAATACATGCTGTTATTTGATTGTCTCTAAAAGTCCAACAAAGGACTAGGTTTGCAAATTGGCCTCTGGCTAGAAGACCTCTGTACAAAACAACAGTTGCGTTGCCCTTCCATGCAACATTGTCTGTGTGATGTACAATAAAACCTAACTAAACTAAACGAATCTATCCAGATGGACCAGACTGGTCCCAGTATCTGACCTCCAGCAGGAAACGTGGACTTTCTGGCATGAAGATGACTCCGATAAGTGCCGCCAGTGCAGGGAAGAGACACACCAGAATGAACAGCCTCCAGCTGTGCATCTGAAACTGCGTTCCAATGGCAAAACCCCAGCCTGGAAAACCGACAGAGAACAAGTTAGCTTTACGTTCCGTCAGAACCCCCATCGCCTCAAAAGCAGCAAACATGCAGAAAACCTTTTCACTGGTTTTCTTGGTGTGGAAGTAAAATAGGGATGTGTATTGTTGAAATTCTGACGATACGATGTATCACGATATATTGCGATACATTCAGCCAGACGATGTTAGTGATGTTTTTAAACAGAAATTACTGTAGGAAAATTCTATAAACATAACTTGTTTAACATATCTGAACCATAACAGAGGGGTTTACATTTCAGTGGTGGAAACAAAACCCATTACACACTGCTGCCAAATAGCAGTCAGCATTTGATTTGCACCAAAAGAAGAGAAAATACACACATGTCTGTATGCAAATTCTTTCAAAAATTCGATACACTGTTTTTGAATATCGATATAATATCACAGAAAAATATCGTGATATATTGCCATATAGATATTTTCTCACATCCCCAAAGTTAGTAGCCTAGTGAACTAGACCAAATTCTTGCTTTGCAAAGAATGGTCTAGGCATGCTCCATTGGAACCTCAGCAGCTACTACCAGGACTCTGGCTAGCCAATCACAGCTCTCTAGAGGGGTTTCAAACACATAAAGAGCTGTGATTGGTCCATAATGGTGGGCCAATCATAGTGCTCTATCTGCTTAGTGAACAAATCACAGAGCTTTATCCGCTTTGTGGGCCAATCAGGGTACTCTATATGCCTGGTGGGTGGGATGATGCAACAGAGTGAAACAAGAGTATGTCACATTCATTGTCCAGTAGCATGTGGAGATCATTTGAAAGACAATGGTAGAACCCGCCCCACAACCGGGAGCCATCAATGGAGCATAGCCAGACTAAATAATACATTTATTTAGTCTGGCTTGCCAGGCTACAAAGTTAGACCTTGGCCCATTTCTGGCTCATGCTTGATTTCATGTTTTCATTGCTTCAGCTAGAAAATCCCTCTTAGAATGGTAATTTTTATGTAGCATTTTTATTTTCAGATAAATGCTTAAAATTACACTTTTATTGTGATCACAGTGTATATACCAGCTCAGTGGCCTAGTGGTAGAGTGTCCGCCCAGAGACTGGGAGATCAGGGTTCGATTCGTGGTCGGGTCTTACCAAAGACTTTGAAAAAAGGCTTGACACTCAGCATTAAGGGGTTGGATTGGGGCTTAAACCACCAAATGGTTCCCGAGCGCGGCCGTGTCTGCAGCTCACCATTCCCTCAGGGGATGGGTCAAATGCGGAGAACAAATTTCTCACATGCATCAGTGTGTGTAACAACTGATGGGACTTTAACTTCAACTTTCCTTACACAGCAGCATGAGAATTTACAACAACTGAAAAGAAGTAATCCAATGTAACCATGTCACTATAAACCAATAGATCTGTGTGTAGATTCATGTTATCCACAGTTGCTTTCTGTGTTACGTCATTAGGTCAAGCCCTCCTCAGTGATGCTGAGTAAACAACAAAACTGGCTTACATCAATTTTAATAGCATGTGCTGGGTTAGAGTTAGTTAAAGCTACAATGGCAAATCTGCCAAACAAACGAGCTTAGCCCATTTTTCATGCCTCTTAACAACATTCGAACATAGTATAGCATTAATTATATTGAGGAGATAAAAAAATGACTAAATGAATAAAGTGGTTCTCTTGCATTTGTCCAAAAACCTCAGCCAATAACAATATGATCTGAAACCAATTATTAGACCATCAGGTTGCCAGTTGGTGGGTGCTCCACATCATTCTCACTTGTGTATTTAGCAGCAGAACACCCCTGGTGTGAGAAGTTCTCCACTCAATAATATCAGAGAAGGAGAAACAGCCGGCTGCTACCTCTTCAGCTTTAGGACAAACTATCAGTGTCCCAAAAAGAAAGTCACCATTTGAACAGCAAAAACTAAAATGTTTGGACAGAGAAAATGGTGACTGGTGTTTAGCACCGTTTTGTTTCCTCTGGCAGTGCGGGTTCTAGTATCCAGCTGACCTGGCCTAAATATGATAGCCTACTGTGGGGGTGAGAGCTCTGTGATCGTTTAAAAGCTAGCTTGTTAAGCCGATATGCCATTGCAGTCGGCACGAGTTACAAAAACTAATGTTGAACGAAATTAGATAATCTTTTCTCAAATGCAGTTTTGTAGATCTGATATTAACCTTCGAAGCCTGATAAGCTGCACCTTATTCAACCACATAGGAGTAACGCACCACTTTACATGCCCAGTAACAGTAACAGTGTTGTAATGCTGGGAAAAGTAATTCATTAGATTACTCCATTACCTAAAACATAACACTATTACACTTAAGCACTGTTACTCCCACTGCTCAAATGTTTATGTTAAAAGGAAATGTATATTAATCCTTCCATTTAAGAAACAGGATTTAGTTAAGTCAATTCAACATCTCATTTCTTAGTGTACATGTGAACAACCAACCATGCAAGCTGAAAGGGATCAAGTCCAAAACTTAAAGGAGTGCATCACTCCTTTAATCAATACATTTGCAGTGGCCTCTGATGGAAATGAATGCCTTGTAAGTCGTACTCTAGAAAAACAAAAGCTCTGGTGCATCAGTTTCAGGAACTAGAAGTGAGCCACATCCCAGCTGAGCTTCAGACGACAGGATTTGGAATCTTTTTTTCTGATATTTGGACATCTTTCATCTGACTGGCAACCAGCGACTCGACTCTACCACTGAGTCTGTTTGCTCTGACGTTTTATCTCCACAAACAACTCAACCCTGAAGGATTTCTGCTGTGTGGTCGAGCTGTTCACTCATTCGCTGCCATTGATGGCAAAAGTCATCATTTGCATTTTTTTACTGTGTGGGCATCGGAATGAGCCCCCCGCACCGTGAGAACAAACATCCCAGCTCTAAAGCCGATCTTCGTCCGCGTATGTCACACGTCACTTGATCAGGAAGCAGAAAATCCATGTGTTAGGAGATGGTTTTGGGCCGCTGCTGTAAAAAAAGTGAGGCGTGAACCGGAAAAGCTTCTGCCGATCACAATTCAACTACAAATTATGAAAGAACGGATAACGCTCGAAGCGCGTGGATCCTTCCTGATGTAAGAGGTGAGTCTACTCTTAATTTGGGTAGTTTTGGCGTTGGCATAATCATAGAGCGCAACGTTCTGTGACTCTTAAAAAAAACGGTGAAAACAGCTGGCAGTTAATGAGTTGATGCTAACGGCTAGCTTCCACCAGCCGAGACATTCTCTTTTCCTGGACACTAAACCAACAACAGACTCCCCTGTCATGAGTCAAGGTGGGTGAGTCCATGAATGTTTAGTGACAGTGTGACGTAGATCTGTCAGGCCTTTCTAATCCAAAAATTTCATTGTCTATTTTCCATCAGAAGCTAATGCAGGAGATAGGTGTAGGGGACTATTTTCATGTTCAACCTGCATGAAACACTCAAAAATAATCATTTTAAATGTTTACTTTTTCATGTTTAATCTGTTTCCTGTTCAAATGAAAAATCCCACTTCTGGATTTTTTCAGTGTTCCACTCGTGCTGTTTGTGTTTGTGGGAGTGGTGCTGTTACCATAGTGAGGAATGATTCCCCAGGCGGTGAAGGAGGCGTACAGACCTCCCAGCATCCAGAACATGCAGAGCCAGCTCAGATGTTCTCCACGTTTGTCCATCTGCAGGAACTCAGTGAAGTAGGTGTACACAATGGGGATGGATCCGCCAATCCTAGAACAGGAAACACAGCCATCTTCCTGAAGTATCTCAGTCACGTCTGGTCGTTTTAGGCTTCATGAGTCCAGACAGTTCCTCACCACTTTAGCAGGTCAGAGACTGTTACATGTGTTGTAAACCATGCAATTAATTTTAAACATGTAATTATTAAATTAAAATGTAAATAATTAGATTATTATTCTCATTGTGGAAATATAAAATCTGACTATCTTGTCCTTCTAGATAGCAGATTAGCTGTCTTGTTTTTGATGATTTATATCAAATATAAGATTGTTATTGTCTTAGAATAGGGGTGGGTCAAATCCATGACATGTCTTTCAGCTCATAAAACATTATATGAATTATTAAAATATATTTGTTTACACCAGCAGACTGTGAGAAGTCACACTGGAACATCAGCATGGATAAATTCCCTTTCTTGTAAAATATTATACACCGTGATTGATTTGGAAGTCTTTTTCTTCATTTCATTAATAATTAAAATTTAATTAAAAGCTAATGGGAGGTGTAGGAGACTTTTTTCATGTTCAGCCTATATGAAACACTCAGAGTGATCGATTATAATCAAAAATAATAAGTAAAAAATGGTTTTTCATTGAAGCACCTCCTCAGCAGTCAGTGACATATGTAGCCTTCAGAGGGAAGGAGCAAACTTGCAACGGTTGACGAGGTCATTTCTTCTGAGCCCAGCAACAGTTGGGGTCCGTAGTCTCAGTGACTTTGACCGTGTTGGTAAAACATCTGATCTTCTGGATCAGGACATTGTCTTCCAGGTGGAGGCCGTTCCCATGGAGACCGAAATAAAGATGATCACAACTGTTTTCTTGAATCACAGCTCTGGTTCAAATGACAACATGGACCTGAACAAATCCAGCGGTGCACCGGCTTCTCAGCAATATGGTAAAGATTGGCTCATGTGACCTTTGACCCTACACAACTGTCGAGCAGTCTTTCTCAGTCCGATCACATTCTGCATCAGCATCTTCAGTCACCTGAGGAAAAGTTATTTGTGCTGAATATTCCAGACCATAATAATCCGGCTTTCACCAGCGTTTCTGCTTCTGTTGCTTCCAGTGACAAACGTCAGGGAGCTGAGATCTTTTAGCTCCTCCTCCTGCCATCTTCATGGGAATCTTGACTAAAGCTCCTTCGTATTTTCATGGAAATAACACAAAAGCTGCTTTGAATCTGAATTAAGAACCAGACTAAGGCTCATATTTGCGAATATGAAGTTTAATAAAACATTGTGCTAGCTGCTAATGTTTTGTTTTGCCGACATATTTCTGTTGAGGTTATCCAGTTTGTCTGGAGCTGTGTGAAGCTGGTTTTTGCAGATTAGCTGTCTTGTTTTTGATGATTTATATCAAATATAAGATTGTTATTCTCTTAGAATAGGGGTGGGTCAAATCCATGACATGTCTTTCAGCTCATAAAACATTATATGAATCATTAAAATATATTTGTTTACACCAGCAGATTGTGAGAAGTCACACTGGAACACCAGCATGGATAAATTCCCTTTCTTGTAAAATATGATACACCGTGATTGATTTGGAAGTCTTTTTCTTCATTTCCTTAATAATTAAAATTTCTTAGTAAAGAAAATTCCCGTAAAAGCAGGAAAAAGCCAGACGTAAGGGAATTAAAACTTGTTACTGATGAGTGCAAATTCACAATGCCCAGACAATTAGTTTCTTTGATGTGACGCAGGGTTAGGGTTAGGGTAACACACTAACCCTAACCCTGCGACTAAAACAGAAATAGTTTTCCTTCTTTCAAAAGGTAATCTAATTCTCCATTAAAGCTTTAAAATGATGATAGAAATAAAATTCTACTCTGTCAATGTAAAACAAAAATTATTGTTTGTTGTGTTTAATGTGGAGGGATAATAGAGCCAAACAGTAATAATTAAAATGTTTCATGTCTTTTGTGTCATAATTGTGCACGAACAAACACGCTCATGCATGAATATTGAGTCTAAAATCCGCTTTTATATTCTTTCTGCAGCTTTGGCTGATAAAGCTGAGACTGTACTCACACTGCAGGTCCTAAAGACTCATTCAGACGTCTTTCCTGCATGATTTAAAATAATCAGAGATGTGCTGTTCACACAAACAAAGCGACGTATGGGCAGCCAGAGTCTGATTTGGGCTCCTTTTGGCTGCAGAGAAACAAAGATTCTCTGTGAGAATAAACACGACCCACAGCTGGGACTTCACGCTCCACCTTTACCACCCAAAGGAAGAATTTCTAGACACGTCGCTGTCACCATTAAAAACGTCAGGTAAATTATTGTTTTAGCTGGTCGAACAAAAAAATGAAGGCATGTCACGAGAAGGCAGCTGAACAGAAAAACACATAAAAATGTATGTTTGAAACGTTCCATCAGTGCAGAGAGAGATCTGCTGCAACAGCAGGAAACCTGGACAAGTTCACTTCATGGATCTCGTGTTTTAATGTACAACGTAAATAATTCTCTCCTGAGGTAAAAAAATATCCAGTGTGTGTGTGTGTGTGTGTGTGTGTGTGTGTGTGTGTGTGTGTGTGTGTGTGTGTGTGTGTGTGTGTGTGTGTGTGTGTGTGTGTGTGTGTGTGTGTGTGTGTGTGTGTGTGTGTGTGCATGACACTCAGCACAATAGGCGTCTGTGATCATGATCATCAGCCTGTAACCAAGCAAACTATTTTGAGAAGCACCACAAATGTAGTGTCATGGTGAAAGTTCTTTAAACACATCATCATTCAGGAGATGGAAACTCAAAAACATCATTCTTACTTTAATGGGAATTTTTCCTTTTTTACATTACGTATTTAAATGTCACTCAGCTCATTCCCAAACCTGTTCCCTCTCACGACTTTGCTCCCAGTAAAGGTCGCTCGTTAAAAGCCAGTGGGGTTGTTCCAGCATCCCTTAAACACAAACATGCATTAAGAAGCCTCTCACCCAAAGCCGGAGCAGAACCTGAAGAACAGGAAGAAGCCGTAGCCCTGAGCGAAGCAGGACAGGAAGGAGAAGACCAGGTCGATGGTCAGGACGTAGATCAGACATTTCCTCCTTCCTATCTTGTCACAGAGACCCCCCCACACCAAGGCACCCACCATCATGGCCACATACACCAACAGACCTGTAAACACACGCACACACACACACACACACACACACACACACACACACACACACACACACACACACACACACACACACACACACACACAGGACTCACATTAATTTAGGTTTTACTGATGTCCAGATTCACATGCACCTGCTCGTTTGTTCCAGCAGGGGGCGACCTTTACCCATGCATGAACACAGGTTGTCAGAGGAAGCAGCAGCTGAGTTTCAGCAGCCTTTTACATGGAGGCTCCTGTTATTCATTTGTCAAGTTTTATTTATCAGGAAACACGTTGGAAGCACACGTAGACGACGGTACTGCTAACAAAGAGAAAGGTCACCGACGTTTGGAGGCAGCTAAGTGTGTTTCTGAGATGCTTTCAGCGTTGTTCAGAGTTCTTACCGATGATGTGTGTGTGTGTGTGTGTGTGTGTGTGTGTGTGTGTGTGTGTGTGTGTGTGTGTGTGTGTGTGTGTGTGTGATGTGATGCTCTCTGACTCGTGATGTTGAGGAGTTTTTTCATGCATTGAACAAGCAGCTCGTCTTGCTTCTTCTTTTTCTGAAGTGACTTGAGTTGGACAGTTTAGACTCTGTGTTTTTACTACAGAGCCCTAATTAACCAAGGCCTATAAGCAGCTTAGTGGCACGTGGAGCCACGGCGTGTGTGGTGCACCTTCCCCCTGGATTACCGAATCATCCAAAGGTTCCAACGCTCAACAGGGCAAATCAGCACTTCCCATTCAAAATGTACTGCTCAGGAAGAGACTACGTGTCAACATTATCATATCAGCTATAGGATCTCAGCCAAGTAGGTGTCTGTCTTTGATAGGCTGACAGGACAGCTTTGTGATTTGGGAGTGTGTCCTTCAGGCGGAGGTCCAGGATCCATCCCAGCTGCAATAAGCCTGGAAAAATGAGCCCTTGAGCCCAATGAGGAGGCTGCACACCAGCTGGGGGAGAGAGAATTGATCTGTTCTTTGTTCTAATAAAAGTGAGAGTCCTGCAGTGCATTCATCTTAAAGACAGAGTAATGCAGAGATGATGCAGGACGCAGGTCAGTCTCACTTTTAACTTTCTTAGGAGAAGAAGAGAACTGCTGTACGATTCCAAACACATCAGCGAGTCCCAGTTCAGCTTTCATTTCACACATCACGCTGCAGCTGGCCTCGCTGGAACAGAAACGGGACGAAAAGAGCTGTCTGAGGTTGTTTTCCAAGTAGACTCAACCTTCAGAGGGAAATCTAAGAGTCCAAATGTCCCTGAGATGTTCTGCGAGAGCTTCAGAATGGTCAAATCAATGTGATTCAAGATGGCCACCCAGCTAACAGACAGCAACAAAAAATCCAGCTAATAACTTAGCATCAAAGATGGCGATGTGTGGTAGCGGAGAGTCTTCTGAGTGATAAACAGCATCCACAGACATGAATACGTAGACACCCCATTGAGCACTGGAGAGCGTAACAGTGTCTCCACCATACTGGACGGGTTCCTCTCTTCAAACCCAACAGGACTCAGTGCAGAGTGAGCAACTAAACCCGTTTTTGTGCAGCCTACAGTTGCAGCACACCATTAAAACAGTTCACGTGGGACTACTAGTGACTTTTCTAGCCTATCTGACGAGATTTTATATTTTAATTTATTTGCTTTTATTATATTTATTTTTTAATAATCACGCCAAACCATGTGTCTGATTTTGTGACGAAACATAATAAAATGTGTTGCTTTTAGTTGGGTAAGCACCGTCCCCAGTAGAAATAAATGCACTGGGGGTAAATGAAGACCCATCCAAGATGGCGGCCCGCTGCTACGCCAGTCCATGGGGCGCCTACGTATATGATGTCTGTGAACAGCGGCAGCCTTTTTGCTCTGGAGCCACCCACAAGAAAGCACCACAGAAGAAGAAGAAGGCTGGCGAAGGGAGCTTAGTGACAAGAGAGCGCAGCAACCTCTGATTGGCTCTTGTCTAGTTTACGTGGCAGGACAACTATGCTGCTTTATTTGCTGTGATGGCTCTGAAATGAATCCCATCAGATATTCCTGCTATGTGTTAAGGGCGCTCTGGTCTGCTCAGAGGCACGTCTGGACTCCTACGATCATGAACATGTTGGGTTGTCTGGGCCTGATGTCGTGGACGAACAGGTGTGATGATTTTGAATGTGGAACAGGTATTCAGCTTAAGTTTCATGTGATTCGATCTGAGAGTTATTCGCAAAACTCCATCTGAGGTATTTTATTCAAGATGGCCTCCTCAGCCAATCCCCAGAAAGGAGTCTGAAAGTAGGCCTGTTGGTAGCTGAGAGTCATCCCTGACAGGCGGAGTCAAATACTGCAAAAACTATTGGATGGACATTAAATAAAAAGAGAAAAACAGGTAAATATCCATCAGCTTTCAAAATAAGATGATCTAAATCTGACATGGGGGTGACCTGCATTACTTCAAGCAACAACATCCGTCCATCCATTCTCCTCTGCTTATGCGGAGTCAGGTCGCGAGGCAGCAGCCTAAGCAGAGAGGCCAGACTTCCCTGTCCCAAACCACTTTAGCCAGCTCCTCCGGGGGGTCCCAAGGCGTTCCCTGGCCAGCCGAGAGACATAGTCCCTCCAGCGTGTCCTGGGTCTTCCTTTAGGTCTCTGTAATCAGCCTCATAAAGGTGAGTCACTGTCTGGTGGCCAGAACATGAGCGTGCATCCTATAGGGCCGTTCTGTAGATCTGCTTCATATTCTCAGTCGGCGATCAGAACTCTTCTCTCTCTCTACACCAACAGATGCTGCGATTTCATTTTCAGCGGGCCCTCCTCCTGCTTCTGCAGCCTGTCAGAGGCCTGAAGCGTATCTGACAGCTCTGCACCAGGACGCCGCGGGTTGCCAGGATCTCTGACTGCTGCAACATGCTCCACATTAGCCTGGGAACACACGCTGAATGCAATCACCACCACGTTCCTCATCAGTCTCTCGTAATGCTGCGTCCCAGGGGCCCGTCAAGATGAGATGAGTGATGTGCAACCTGCCACTTCGCCTGGCTACGCTCCGGCTCTGGGAATCCAGGTGAGGCACTTTAATGTGCAGCTTAGCTGTCTGCACAGAGGAACAGACGCTTTCATGGTACATTTCTCAGTAAGCTAAGAAAGATCTTTGTTGTTTTATGGGTTTTTTCTGTTAGAGTGAAGCTAAAATAGAGTGGCAATGAAGCAGACACAACCCAAAAGACACAATATATTCATCAGACAAAGTCTGCGTCTGTGTCTAAAGACAATCTGCGTCCACGAAGCGAGCTCTCAGACATTTGTCGTGCTACTGCCAAGCCTCCGCGAGGCTAATCTGGTTGCACACAATGGACCAATTCCCCACGCAGACACACAATGGTAATTATTATTTGATCCAAGCCTTCTCCCTTAACTTGCTGCAGCAGCTTGGGAATATTCCTGCCTGATGATCTGTAGCCATGAAATGCCAAACATCTGCAGGAATATTTTCCAGCCAAGCACAACAGCACATCATTTCACTGATGAGTTTCCTCCTTTCTGGGTAAAGACTGCAACTCGCCACCAGATGACTGTAATTAGAAAGTCTTGCGGGTTTCCTGAAGGATGCGTCTGTGTTGGTAGAATAGTTTCCCCCAAATCAGTTGTTAGCTCTGTGGCTTATGGAATGATACAGCAGACAAAAACTCTGACATTTTCCACAGACGTGTAAAACAAAAAGGAAATACCGACACGTTTAGTTTTCTTTTGCTTGGAAATATAAAGAATTTTAACCGTGTGACACCAAAGGCATCAGAAATCTGTGTGTGACGGCGCTCTACCTCGCTGAAGGATCAGCACGCTCCTCAGGACCTGGGGGGCCCCCAGATCGGGAACCACTGGAAATGGTCCCCACAAGATTACAGGGGTCCCCACAATTTTGTCTGGGGTTGTGAGATTAAACTAGATTATATTTGAAAAAATTACACGTGTAAAATCCCCCAAAAAAGACCCAGTAGTATAATTCAAACTCTGCATAAGTAATAGGTCTGTATAAAGTTTGTAATGAATCACTTTTAGTGTCTTTATGCAGGAGGCATCAGGGCTCCTGAAGGGAAAAGGCTGGGCCCTTCCGGGGGACTCTACTGCCTCAGGGTCTCACGTAAGCCTTCTTCCTCCCAGGAGAGCCCACTTCGGACCCTCGCCTTAAGCAAACGGACCAATGCTGTTGGTGTTTTTGATTTAAAGGCAACTAAAGACATGTTTGACTTCAGCTACTCCATCATTGTTTGTGAAAACATTTGGATTCCCAGTCCACATGAAGTTGCATGTAAACTGGGAATACTGGGAATACTGGGCATGCTGAGGATGATGTTAACATGTGACTCTTCTCTACTGTAATAAAGTTCACATTATAAAGTTAACTGCCTGCTGCTGTCATGTTCTGCGTCTCCCTCATGTGTCTCCTTGTGTTCTCCATCCCTCACTAGGTTCCCCTTATGTGTCTCCTTGTGTTCCTCATGTGTCTCCTTGTCTGTGCCCCCCCACCCCCCACCCCCCGTGTGCCTCCGTGTGTTCCCCAGCCCACTCCAGGTTTTTTCCCTTAGGTGTTCCCCTTAGGTTTCTGTGTCCCTGTGGTTCCCCAGCCCCTTCCAGGTTCTCTCTAGGTTTCCCTTATGTTCTCCCTTTAGCTCATTTTGTTCCCTTCCCCATTTTTAGGTCTGGTTTCCTCCCATGCTCTGTTGTGCTCCTCCTCTGTTTATTAGTCTCACCTGTGCACAATTCCCTAACCACCCAGCCCTTGTGTATATAACCCTGTCTGCGTCTCAGTTTGTTGTCGGCCCATTGTTCTTGCATCAGCGTTGTCTCGTTCCCCCCTCTTGGTCTCTTGGTATTTTGGTTTTTTTCTCTAGGTCTCTTGGATATTGCTCTTTGGATTTTTGGACATTTGGATCTGGGCTTCCTGCCCCTTCTTGGATTTTTGGTTTTTGGACGATTATTCCTAAATAAAGGATTTTATGTTTTACTTGCTCCTGCCTTTGTGTCGCTCTGGGTTTCTGCATTTTGGGTCCTAACGTCCTCCTGGCTCACAGTGTAAAAAGGTGCATCCATCTACAAAACATAATATGATGCCATCTTTGTAGTTTTTTTAATTTTTCTATCAAGTGCATTTCCAAACAGCATGAGAGCTGACCAAAGCGCCCAACAGGAAGAGAAGTACTCAAAGCATTCAACAGAGCTAATGATAAAAGCAAGTAAAACCTTGCTGTAATTCAGTCAATGAAACCTAATAAAAATACAGATAAGAATAACTAAAAAAAGATTTTAGTTTTCTCCGTTGCAGCTCTGGTGCCAGGTACGCCCGAGGTCTGTCTACGAACACAGAGCGCTGTGATTGGCTGGACCTAAACCTTCTCACATCCAATGAGGGTCAGGGTGGAGAGTGTCTGGACCGACCTGCAGAGCCACATCTTTAGTTCCTGCTAAGGTTGGTCCAGATTTCTAGGCTACCTTTCTTTTCCCTTTACATTTTTCCATCTCATCTTTGTCAGAGTTAGAATTTCTGTTGCTGTTTTCAGTTTCCTCCTTCTGTCCAAAGGCATGGAGAAACTTACCAAGGTCCATTTTTACTGGGTAGTTTGCCAGAAATCTGATCCACCGCCTGAACCTGACCAAGCAGATGGACACTACCACATGTGTTTTACATAATGGTTATTTAGAATAAGAAATAATGATTTCTTACACCACCTACACATAGCTGGAGCTGGAAAGTAAGCAAACGTCTGTTTGATTATGTGGTGAAAATGCTTCGCCGTGATAAATCTGCCATGTTATAAACCCTGATGATTGGTGACTTTCTCTAAGAGGTGAACGTGTGAATCGTGCATCCATTCAATGAGCAACACAGCTAAACGTGTAAGCATGCCCAAACGCAAACCTCCTGCATCGTTGATTTAAGACGTCACATCTCATCTTCCTGGGGTGCTACCACATGCTTAGCTGTGTTGCCCATTCTGCAGATGCACAATCCTTTACTTTTTTAGGAAAGGTGACTAGTGAGGCCTTCCGGCGGTCAAGATTTATTATCAATAAGCAGCATCAAACACTAACCAGTCAGAGCAGCCACTCACCCAGCAGTCCTTTGTTAGCGTTGGATATGCACATGTCCTTTTCAGCACTGGGCAGGACAAAACCCACAACAAAGCCATCTACGCCATCGGCCATCAGCGCCAGGCCCAGCACGAAGAAGAGCATCCACTGGAAGCGTCCGTGACCACAGTCCTCCATGATGGTCTCGTACTGCTCTGGCAGGTTCTCCTCCTCCTGCTGTGCAGTCAGACGTGCTTTCCTCTTGGCCTCCAGCCGGGCTGCCCGCCTCGCCTCCTTGATCTCATCGGGGTGGGGGATGCCCTGGTACTCCCCCTCATACATCTGATCATCCTCATCTGCCCCCTCGGTGGCATCGCTGGCTGCATCCTCCTCCTGTGGGGGGTAGTCGGTCTGATAAGGGTATCCATCCGGACCTCCTCCGTCTTGGGTGTAGGTGTACTCTCCAGCCTCAGTCATCTGCTGGTTCACATTGTTCTGATAGGGGTCATTCATGGTTCCTGCAGTGTGAAAAGGGACTCTTGTCTTGTAGAACGCTGTTGTAGCTCAAGCTGTCAGCTAGAGCGGCATAATCCGCCTGGATCCCAGGTGTCAGGAGAAACTGCAGATCTTCTGTTAAGGCCTCACGCTGACAGACTGTTACCTTCCCTGATTTGCACAGTGCGACATGTTGAACCTGAAATACACAACAAAGTGTCTGTCAGCCCAACAACCGAGAAGAGTGCATGTAGAGCAGAAACACTGTGATGCCGCGGCGCCTTTTGGGGCATCTCGTGACCTGTCTCCACCTCAGGATCTGATCTGACGGAGTCATTTTTGGAACAACACAAAGTGTGCATCAGACTCACTGAAACGGTGGGTCTTCTGAGTTTTATCAGCTATATCTTCATCCCTGTTAACGCGGCATCTTTGGTGAGTTTTGTCACTCGTTCTACACCTCTCACCTTGACTACTTTAATGTAATCATCCCTATTTCAAAAGCATTTTCAGTTTTAATGTGAGTTCTACTTATTTTTCTCCCCTAATGAAACAACAAAAGCAGAATGAAGTAGTTGGCGATGCTGCTTTCCCCTGCAGGCTGTTTGTCCTTCTGCACAAGCAGATAATCTCATCCTAGGCTCTCAAACGCTCTGACGCCATTTTGATCCATCACACGGCGCTGCTGTGTCGCCGACACATTCAGATCTGTCTCACACTGACCCGAGCCCCGGAGCACCAGAGCTGAGGAACAAAATGACTCGCTGAATATTCAGAGATGTGTTGTCACTCACTTCACATACCAGAAGCATGCCGGGGGAGTTGAGCACGCAGACAAAAGCAAGTCCTGCTTAACCTGATGGTGAGGTAGAGATTCACACAGATTGATTTCAGCTCAGATTTATCCAACAAACCGGTTCTAACCCGAACTGCTCTGCGGGTTTTACCCTTTCTGTCTTGTTTTGGAAGCTTTGTTTAACAAATATGCTGCTGTCCTTTTTTCTCAGAAAGTTTTCCCCATTGAGAAATTGGGTTGGTGTCAATAAAACAAAGACGTTTCAGCCAAAAGTGGAGTGGCTATGTGATCAGAAAAGGTAGACGAGAACCTGGTATTCACCCACGTCTCTGATCCTCCACCCAAAACAGAAACGTTCAGCTGGCCGACTGAAGATTCAGACCCACCAGTTACTGGAGTTTCCCTGTTTTCTGATGGTCAAAAGGCAGATTAACAGATCCTGTTAAATTATCCCGTGAACCGCTCAAAGGGCTTTAATGAAAGTGTAGTAACCAATGAATGTACATGAAATCAGTCTAATAAAAGATGCGACCCAGCCTCAGCTGACACAAACAGAGCTACAACTCAGGCACTTTTGCAACTATCTGCATCAAATTCATGTTGAAGGAGCTAAAAGTTATAATGACCTGGTAGGATCATGCACTATTGTGTGAAAATGTGCATAACCTTATTTTCCAGATTTGGCACAAACGACTAACTCCATCTTTGCTCAACTCAAAGTTAGTTTAAAACACTAGAATAAAAGATGGCAGCAGTATGTATTATTTCAGGCCAAATCAGCCATATTTTTAATTAATCTGCAGTGGTCTCTGGTGGGAACGAGTGCCTTATAAGTTGTTCTCTGGAGAAAAAAGCTCCGGATGTGCCTGTTTCAGTACGGAGAATTCAGAGGAGAAAGTCGTTTCGGACGGCAGGATTTGGAGTCTTATATCCTGATGTCTGGACACGATTACTTCTGATTGGTTAACAGCATCACAACTCTACGCTGCCTGCTTTGCAACATTGATGTTTCATCTCCACAAATAACTCAAACCTGGAGGAGTTCTGCTTTGTGGTGGAGTTGCTAATACTGACGGTTAAGCCTAATTTTTCTTCTCCGTCTTTTCCACGAGGGAGAGACACGCACACACGGACAGACGTTTTGTTTTCCGTCTCCTGGGGAGTGTCGCAAAGCAACTCCCCGCCAGGACAACAGAGGGCGTAGCGCTATTCTTGGGTATCCTCTCATGTATCCGGTCCAAGTTAGTGCTTTTACTATTGTGTTTATATTGTGGGTTTTTTTTTGTTGGTCTCTCAGATACTTTTTAACATGGACAAATTTGTGCCTCATTCTCCTTCGCCTCTTCGTCCGCTCGCCACCTCTAAACCCACGTTTCCCGTCACTTCCGTCGACAAATAAAACGCTTGCTGCATATCTTTTCACTCCTCCAGTCACGGGTGAATAAAATGTTCGTATTTTTAGAGTTTTGTGAGGTATTCTTCAAGCTGCTCCCTGTCTGCCGCTAGACATCTTCAGCTCTCTTTGTTTTTGAGACAGCGGCATCCTGACCTATCACAAGCTTGCGTTCTCGTTGGATGGATGTTTAAAAAAGACAGCTCAGCTCCGTCCGTCCTTGCGAGCCTGCTGGAGAGCGTTCAAAGGGATAGTGTTGTTGCGTGCGTCTGTCCAGACGCAGACAGAGAAGTATAAATTAGGCTTTAGTCTACTAGCCGAGATGTTCTCCGCTGTTTCCTGGACGCTAAACCAACAACAGCCTTCCCCGTCGTGACTCAAGATGGGTGAGTCCATGAATGTTACGTGACGCGGATCTGCCAGCGTCTATTTTCTATCAGAAGCTAATGAGAGGTGTAGGAGACTATTTTCATGTTCAGCCAGCATGAAACACTCAGAGTGATCGATTATAATCAAAAATAATAAGTAAAAAATGGTTTTTCATTGAAGCACCTCCTCAGCAGTCAGTGACATATGTAGCCTTCAGAGGGAAGGAGCAAACTTGCAACGGTTGACGAGGTCATTTCTTCTGAGCCCAGCAACAGTTGGGGTCAGTAGTCCCAGTGACTTTGACCGTGTTGGTAAAACATCTGATCTTCTGGATCAGGACATTGTCTTCCAGGTGGAGGCCGTTCCCATGGAGACCGAAATAAAGATGATCACAACTGTTTTCTTGAATCACAGCTCTGGTTCAAATGACAACATGGACCTGAACAAATCCAGCGGTGCACCGGCTTCTCAGCAATATGGTAAAGATTGTCTCATGTGACCTTTGACCCTAAACAACTGTCGAGCAGTTTTTCTCAGTCCGATCACATTCTGCATCAGCATCTTCAGTCACCTGAGGAAAAGTTATTTGTGCTGAATATTCCAGACCATAATAATCCGGCTTTCACCAGCGTTTCTGCTTCTGTTGCTTCCAGTGACAAACGTCAGGGAGCTGAGATCTTTTAGCTCCTCCTCCTGCCATCTTCATGAGAATCTTGACTAAAGCTCCTTCATATTTTCATGGAAATGACACAAAAGCTGCTTTGAATCTGAATTAAGAACCAGACTACGGCTCATATTTGCGAATATGAAGTTTAATAAAACATTGTGCTAGCTGCTAATGTTTTGTTTTGCCGACATATTTCTGTTGAGGTTATCCAGTTTGTCTGGAGCTGTGTGAAGCTGGTCTGCGTCAATTACCTGCATTTGCTTTGTTCTCTCTTATTTACTGACACTTTTACTTAAAATGCCTTTTTATGCCAACAGGCTGTTTTATCGCATCTATTCTGAAGAGTTTTCTATGATGAATACTTTTTCATCAACAACTCCCGATCTGACGGGTGTTCATGCTTGATTTGGGTGTGTTCCAGTTTGGAGCCAGGATAAAAACTCTGTCTTTTAATCCAGATTAAGACTGCAGATTGTTTCTTTCATTTTGTCCTTGTTGCCTCATGTTATTGTTTATTCACAAACGTCATGAAGGTGGAGGATTAGAGAATCCTGTTCTTTTGGTGCAGAAATCCAAAAGTTTGTGTTTGGACAAGTGAACGAGTGGCCAGGAGGTCCTGCAGCACCATGATGGGAACATCTTCATCAACATCATCAGTTTTGAATCCACATCTGTGAGTAAAACGGGATGAATTCAGATGAGAATTACAGGCAGATCAATGCTCGGTGTGCTGGAGGAGCTGCAGCTGGCTCTTATGTAACACCTCCTGCACTCACCCCCTCTGCTGTATTCATCCATATTTGTATTTACACCAGCAACACACACACACACACACTTAGATGTCAAACTGGTGCAGATCTCGAACAGGTCATGATCTGGTTTCTTCTGAGCGCTAAGAAATAAGGAGAATCGATGTTAGAGTGAGACTCAGCGAGGGCACGGTCTAATTTACTGAGATTTCAGTTTAACGTGTGACCTTTAACTCTTTAGATCTTCCATCCCTATGATCGTCTTCACTTCACCACTGTGCTTTAGAGCCAATGACTCATAAATCCTTCCTTTCTGCTGTGAGATCTCAGAAACTTAGACTCAGTTACCCACTGACTGGTCACTTTATTGAGTACATCTGGTCAGTTCAGCACCTCTGTGCATTTAGACACCTAGATGTGGTGAAGACTCTCCTGTCAGCTGAGAACAGGAACCTGAGGCTACAATTCACACAGGATCACCAGAACTGGACCAGAAGACCTTGGAAACGCCTTTCTGGTCTGATGAGTCTGGATTTCAGCTGCAGCCTAACCCTAACCCATCTTCTGATGCTACTTCCAGCAGGATGAAGCACAAGATCACAAAGCTCAGATCATCTCTAACTGGTGACTAGAACATGGCCACGAGTTCACTGGACTCTAACGACCTCCACAGTCACCAGATCTCAGTCCTGTCCAGAACCTTTGGGGAGTGGTGGAATGGGAGATGTGTGATGCTGTCATGTCAGGATGGACCAGAACCTCTGAGGAAGGTTCCCAACACATTGTTGAGTCTGTGGCAAAAAATGAAGGTGGTTGTAAAGTTGAAAGGAATTCAGATGGAATCTCACATTTAAGTCAGAATACCAGTGGCTCAGGTGGTAGAGCGGGTTGCCTCATGATCGGAGGGTCATGGGTTCGATTCCAGCTCCCGCCAGTGGTATCCTGCTGTTGTGTCCTTGGGCAAGACACTTCACCCAACTTGCCTGTGTTGGTGGTGGTCAGAGGGGCCGATGGCGCCAAATGGCAGCCTCGCCTCTGTCAGACCTCCCCAGGGCGGCTGTGGCTACAAGTAGCTTACCATCACCAGCAGTGTGTGAATGTGAGAGTGTGTGAAAGTGTCTTTGGGTGTCTAGAAAAGCGCTATATAAGTTCAATGCATTATTATTATTATTATAAGTTTTAAGCTTCAGGCCAACCTCTACACCTGTAAAGTAAGAGTTCTTCTTTGGGTTTCTCCTTTAATTTTTTTTTCTAAAGGTCTCCACGTCTTTTGTTGTGTTGGAAGCAGCAAAACGCAGCTGTATGCAAGTGATGACTAACAGAACATTTTCATCATAATCCAGTTTTAACTGGTTCTTTGGTAACGCTGGGCTTTAGGTTAAGAGGCAACAAATACTCCCTTACATCATCTACACCCTGCTTGTATTATTATTATTATTATTATTATTATTATTATTATTATTATTATTATTATTATTATTATTATTGCATCACTAAAACTTTACATTTATTGTCTCAAATGGAGAAAGAGCAACAAGAAAATCTTTCATTGCGTTTTTCTTGGTGTGAGAAATAAAAGAGAATGAAGTTGGTAGAATTCTTCCTGCCCTTGTGAGGATTTAGTTCATTTCATGGCAAACATTGGCCACTGATGGATATTTGCTACGTTTCAGAATTGGTGAAACAGTCATAAGTTGAGAAGCAAATGAGGCGGCAGCAGGTCTTTTGTCCCGTTTTAGCTCCATCTGTCATCTTGAGATTATAATGCTGCAGAAATCAAAAGTGCTCTTACCAGAACTTGCTCTGTCCTTAATAAAAAGTAACATCTAAACAAGGCTGATGTGGAAATCAAAAGAAAATAAAAGTCCAAGTAGCATTTTCAGAGGTCCAGAGCCTACATGACAGTTTATCCCGAGGCCGTGCTGCAGCCAAACCCAAGGGATTATGATCGAAGCTCACAACCGCTCCAACCCCCGTCAGACACACCACCCACAGGGCTCGCTCCCCCCCCCCCCCATCAGGGCCTGATGGTACGCTCCTTTAGGTTTAAGTAGCAACAGGCGGTGCTGACAGCTCACTCCCAACCTGCAGCGGCTCCACACAAGGTTTTTTCTCCACCCTGATCTATATGAGCGATCCTCCACAAAGAGGTCAAAGGTTATCGTCAGCTGTCAGGAGAGAGATTGAATTTCTGTAATTTTTTCGTCCTTCAAGTAGGGCTCAAGGACACTTCAGTGAGGCAGATGCCAGTTGTCATGGAAACACGAACAAGTGCCTCCAGGGTTTTTCAGTCATTGTGGACAAAAAACAGAAGCCACAATTCAGATTACATCCATACAGCAAAAAGTTTTCTCTGCTGGTGTCACTCTTGGTTAATGGCTACCTGTAGAGCCCCATGCACCCTTCTGTCCCATGAGCAGAGTGAGGAGAGTGGCTGGGTGCCACAGTGCCCTTGAGTGAGACACTGAATCACCACGGCGACTGCTCATCCATCCTGAGTGGCTTCAGATAGGCAAATCAGCAAAAAATAGCTGAAATATTCCCCTTCCCTTGAAGCAGGATGGAACGGGTTCCTCAGGGTGTCGATGAGTGGCACCTTGTGCAGGAGATGAATGAACATAGCTTCTCCAGGTTACGCGCCTTCCTCTGGGCATGCATGCAGAGAATACACACTTTGATGTCTCTGAGGTTTAAAGGAACAGAAAGAACACCATGAGCTGCATTAATGCTCCTACACGAGAATCACGTTAAATCATGAGACGAGCTAATCAAGCTTCAGCAGGTGAAAGTGTCCTCATCGCCAACCACTGGATGGGTTTTCATAAAACTTCCTGAAAGGGTGTGCAGTTACAACCAACAGCCAGTCAGCCTTCCCCAACAACTCGGTCAGGTTTAGAGAGCTATCATGGTGAAAGCTGAGAGCCGTTCACCGCATTAGGGCTAAAATTCAGACAAGATCTTGTGATCCTGCACTAAATATAACATGTGAGTCCTCTGCTTAAAACATCATTGATGGTTAGTAGTCACGTTTGTCTCTTAACGTAATATCTCTTGACCATGGGAACATAATAATAATAATAATAATAATAATAATAATACATTTTATTTAAAAGCGCCTTTCAGAACACCCAAGCTCACTTGACAGAAAATACATTCAGAAAATACATTAAAACAACAATAAACGTAAAGAAGAAAAAACAAAGAGAGAAACAGTTCAATAAAATCAGAGGTCATAGGCAGATTTAAACATGTGTGTTTTGAGTTTGGTTTTGAAAAGGGTGAAACTGTCGATGTTCCTGATGTCTGGGGGGAGTGACTTCCAGAGACGGGGAGCAGAGCGGCTAAAAGCTCTGCTCCCCATGGTAGTGAGACGGGCAGAAGGAACAGCAAGATGGATGGAGGAAGAAGATCTGAGAGAACGGGAGGGGGTGTTAATACTTATAAGGTCTGAGATATATGGAGGAGAGAGGTTATGGATAGCTTTGAAGGTATGGAGGAGAATTTTGAAGATGGACCTGAATTTAACTGGGAGCCAGTGAGGCTGTTGGAGAACATACCTTAGTTTTAACTCTGGCCTAAAACGCTTATGCCTTCCTTCAGTGTTTGTGTAAATAATGACCCAGTTTAAAGTCTTTGTACTGCCCTGTAACATGACTTTATACATGTCTTAAAGATTTGACTGAAACACCAAGCAGCGCCTTTTCAGCACATGAACACTACTCCAGTGCATTGCAATCTCTCTAATAGTTCAGCATTTAGCTCCAGTAGAGCCGCTAAACTGTAGATAAAGTCTTTTATTTCAGCAGTTTCATGTGAAATGTCCTATCTACATTACATTTGTGAGATAGACCTGCCTGTTAATGTTTTCCTTTATTTGTAATCACCAGCATGTATTCTCAGACTTACAAAGGAAGACTGTTCTATGTGCTAATTACAATCTGATATGTTTGATCTGATTTTATTATCAAAGTCTCCAATCACTCCCCAAACAGGAGGACATGGTATGGCCTGTGTTGAGGCATCATTTTAGAGAGTAGATGTCTTGCACAGAGCAAAGCTCTCTAATCTGAAGGCCAGATAATTCGAGTGCAAAGAGGATTAGCTCCACCCTAGCAGAGCCATTGGCTAAATTTAGCCTCTCTGTCCCAACCAGTCTCCATCTGACCCCTCCTCCAAGCCCCGCCCACCACACCTTCTGTCCATCATTGCAAGAATGCTATGCACAAATCACATTCTGCACCACGTCACTCTTGTCACAACATTATTAGACCTGTGCCACCAAATACTCCCGCATCACCAGAGTGCTTCCTGTTCATGTTAAAGGTCAGACAACATGTGTAGATGTGGGTGGTTCCACTAAGAATGTTGGGGTGTGACCAAGCCCCCACAATGCGGCTCTAAAATTGAGACCAACCCGGAAGTACCAAAAATTGCAGTTCCACCCTCATCCGCTGGGGGCTGGTGTCAGAAACGAGCAAATCCTCATTGACTCCCATGTTAAAAATACCAATTTCACAGCAGAAATAAACATGTTTACAGCCTGGTACCAAAACATGTTTTTGGTTCAAATGATCTAGTTTACACTCATGACAACTCTGAGGGGGGTGAATTTTTTTCTCTCTCTTCTGTTTAAGTGTATTAAAAGCCTAAAATTCTGTGTAATTAATGAACATCAGACCCACGTGACCGCCGCCTCAGACCCACGTGACCACAGAGCTAGCTCCGGGGAAAGGCCTCAGTAGAGCCTCGGTCTGGCTTGGAAACTGTTACGGGATTTTGAGTCTCTGTGTGTGTGTTTTCTTTTTTGGATATTTTTTGTGCAATTGTTGGACAAAATGACTTGCTGTGGCATTAATTGCACTAATAGAGCATCCAAGGAGTCTCCACTTCATTTTTTTCGGTAAGTAAAATTATATTTATGTATTTTAGGTCACTGCCGATCTGAGCTTAAATTTTAACATGTACTGTTTAACATTGAAATTTAAATGTAATAAGGTAAAACCCAGTGCATTTAACATAATGCTGCACTTCATAAAATGGGTTGAAATATAACGTTAGTGGAGCTGGGTTCCGACTATCGGCTTGTGGAGCTCTCGGGAGACCGATGTTTTCCACCCGTTCTCCCCTCCCTGCAGCTTGCCGCATCTCTGTCTGATCGCGGCTTCTGTCTGCTGCGTGGGCTGTCGGCTTGTGGAGCTCTGGGATGGAAACCTTTCCACCCGGTTCTCCCCAGTGGCAGCTCTGCGCATCTCAGATCGCAGCGGCGCTTGTCTGCTGTGCGGCTGCCGGCTTGTGGAGGTCTTGGAGACCTCTGTGTTCCACCTGGTTTTTCCCAGCGGTCAGCCCAGCGTATCTCTGACTCAGAAGCTCTGGTGTTGTATACAGTTAACTCTGGTTATAGCTAGGTTGCTACATCCATTAGCTTAGTGTTACACTTCTGAAATGATGGGCCAACTCATCTCCCGTGCAACATATTTATTTTTACAGAAAAACTGTAAAGACAGAAAAATATCTGATTAATCAGTTCTTTCAGCACGCAGGCCGTACACTGCCTCTCCACCACTGACACTACTTCTTCTCGTGTAGCTGACATTACCTTATACAAGTAACTTATACAGTTCTATATTCATATGCACCAATTTTAATAACTGGTTAAATCACCAAAATACATTTTACTACACCCATGAATAACACAGTGAACTCTCATTAGGTTTATCTGGTTGTTTTTACTACTGTTTTAAGCTATTTATGAACCTGTCTTCGTAACTGTATTTATCAAACTAGATTTCTTTCAGATAAACATCTTTCCTTAGCATATTTTTACAGCATTCACTTTTCAGGAACTAAGCATGCATCAATTGACATCTTCTCTTATTGTGCAAAACATACCTCTTGTGGCTTTAACCCAAAATACACCTTACATGAACTTGCCAGTTTTCGGTACAGTCTAATACTTGAATCGGCACAGGCTAACAACTGGACCAACTTGGAAATTAGCTCTTTAGCCTAACATTCACCACACACAAGACACTCGTCATTAATTGCCACTGCTGTCTGTCACTATTATAACATCTGTTTATCTTAGCAACCCCCCAGCTTACCTGTAAAGACAGAAAAATATCTGATTAATCAGTTCTTTCAGCACGCAGGCCGTACACTGCCTCTCCACCACTGACACTACTTCTTCTAGTGTAGCGTCAGCTACCGATGTGTACAGGACTGAGCGCCCTCTGCTGGCGGAACGTATATAACAATAGAACTGACATTGTAGTGGCCTTACTAAAAGAAAGTGTCTTTGAGGCTAAAATAAAATGGGGGGCTACTATTTTCATGTCTCTGTCTTGGCTACTATTTTCATGTCTCTATCTTTCACATAGTGCCACACTCTTCCCCACAAAATTAAATGTCTCCTGACATTTCTGTCTGCATCATCTATTAAACCATAGCTTTAACATACTCCCACAGCCCATGGTCTCCAGAAGCCAATACAGTCAATCGCCTGAGCCGTAGTCACTGTACAGGTCCTCTGAACCAAAGTTGGCTGACCTAAAGTGTCATAGCTCAGTACAGTTGGTCGCTGTCTTTGTCTTTGAGGTCGTTGCCTCACAGAGTCAGTCTCACTACCAGTTGCAGCTCGAATGTCAGCCATACTATCACCCCGCAGTAGTCTGTCATTGTCAGAGCCCTTGATCTGCTCAGGCACAATCTCTTCACTTTGGGGTGGCAAATCCTCTTCGCTCTGTAGTGGCGAATCCTCTTCTTGACAGTGGAGACTCAGATGAGGCTGGAAGGACTCTGCCAAAGGGTTAAGCAGAGTCTGTCTCTGTCGTCTCCCTGGAAACGGCCTGAGGTGCCACTGGAAGGTGCCACTGTCGTCATCATCTGATGTGTCGCCATTCCCTGGCTGTTGCTGTCTACGCAGAGGTCTGGACTTCTTCCTTGTCACCGTCGA